ATTTCAGACTTCGTCCGGCGATAATAGAATGGACAACAGAAGAAGATTCATGAGAAATTCAGAGAATGGTCATTCAGGAAGACGTTTCCCTAAAGCAAGCAATGTGAGCAAAGTTAAGCTTAAGGGACTGTATATGCCAGTTATAATAAGTGTCACCCTCGCGAGTAAGGACATTTTTTATCCTTGGTACAGAAGGATAACCGTGAGGCGAGTAAGGATCATCGATGATGTGGAAAAATGCCAAAGATGAAGAGGTAAAACATCTATACGTAGATCATCGTAGCACTAAATCTTAGTACTCCCCTAAAGGGGGGAATATAGAGTGATGTGACATTAAGTCAGAATTAAGTGGTTCTAGTAACTATGAAACGGTAAAGGAAGAATGCGATAAAAATGAGAAAGGGATGAGATTGCACTTATTCAAATCCTACAGATATTCTACGATTCCAGAACATTATGCAAACACGACATCAAGGATAGGAAGTAAGGGTTCCTGCCCGAGATGTTATTGATAGATAAGGAGCTAGTGCGAGAAGTTAGTTAATACAAAGGAAATAACCCAAGAATGGTCATGTAGAATATTGATATGAGAATGGGCCAACGAATAGTTAGTAGTTGATCTAGGAAGAGCCTAGTTTTGGTTAAACAAGAGGATATAGACAAATCAACAGATCGTGCAAGATGAACATAATGAACCCCAACATACGGAATTCAGTCTCACAGATATGACACCGTGACCCTTGAGAAATATTTAGATAGGAGTTGGGGTAGTTAAAGGGACCGTATGAGTGTTATGGAAATAAAAGAGAATGCCACTGGGAAGAGAGTCAAAATATGAGTTCGAAAGCAGCCCTACATGCACAAGGGCGTGGAGGTAAGTAACTACGGATATTTATAGATGAGAAAGGACATCAAAGATTCTATCGGGACTATGATGTAATAAGCTCGCAACTTTATAAGAGTCAAAGGGTCTTCCCTAAGTACTACAATGAAAGACTAGCTGAGGAAACTAAAGAGTTACATCAACTAAGTAAATCAGGAGTCTGATTATTGGACCAAAAAAATTATAGACCTCGTGATTGAGAACATTGCAGGATCACTCTTAAATATCAGAGGAACAAGAGAGATAGTACAGTAGTCATATTCTATAATGGCTCTACGATAAAGCCAGTTAGAAGAGTACCAGCCTCATAAGAAGTCAGTATGAAGCTCTCACCGGATTCTGTATGCACCAGAGGTGCAAGTATTATAATAGAGCTTCAAGTTGTGGATGTGAATTATACCTATGTGGAAGGGAGGTCATGAAAGAGATAAAAGAATGTGAGGCGATATTTTAAGGTAAGTAAGGTAAAAGTGAAAAAACGTACGAGATACTCAAGTGCAGAAGGTTGTGAATGGTCCATACTTTAGATAGACTAGAAGCATTGGGATTCAGTATCCAGGAAAGATAGCAGCATCGTCAGTGGCATATCTTCTAGCCTATGGTTTCTAGGTATCGAAAAGCCTAATTAAGAGAGTAAAAAAGAGTTAGAGACGATGTGATGTCTCACTTGATGTTCTAGGATGACATAAGGAAATCTATGATGCAAGAAAGTTGAAGGGAGGTTGCGAGTAGTATAAATAGATATGTGTAGGTCGCAAGCTAAAGTATGGTAAAGCGACAAGGTTTTAGGAAGACATGAGTAAGGATATGAAAAGGCGAGTGAGAAGGTGATGAGAATGAATAAGTCCTCGGGATTAAGCCCATGAAAATAAGAGAGCTAATGGTTTCTCTAAGTTATCGAAAACTCAGTATAGCTTGAATGAACTCAAGGGAGTCTAAGACTAATAGCATTTAGAAGAGATGGAATGCTGCCCTAGTAGTAGAATGAGGGTGTAATTATGATAAATGAAAGATGACATTTGGGCCTTCGATTGAGTAATGAATTGTATGTTATATGGTTATACCCATGTAACCAAGGGGGATTTCATGAATTGTACAGGATTAAAATACCCACGCAAGGTGAATCACATTGGGATGCTATAAAATATGGTTATGGAAGCATGGTTTCGCCCCAGGTGGATCAGTCTAATCATTTCAGATGTTCCCCGATGAGACGTGAGCCCTAGCAGCAGTGTTACATAAGAGGTCAAGTTATCAGTGGTAGATTATAGATCAATATTAAGGTGAATTAACAATGGATGGATAAAAGTTACAAAGTATGAGATGAGATTAGGCCATCATTCGTAAGATAAACAGTAATGAAGAAGCATTAAAGGACTTAGATTTATACATATAGGATAAGCAACGAGAGTAACCTGAAGTTTGGTAGTAGACCTCAGTATGACCTACCTATGAAGTAAAGTCATACAGATGGATAATCGGGTCTATGAAATAAGATATAGCTATATCTGTAAGTCCAACAAAGTACCGAGCGAAGAACTTCAGTATACTTATCGATTCCCTGAGGGACATCTTGTCAAGCTTTGTATATGTTTATAAAGTGAGGCCAACACTTCCAATGGTACAAGGAATTGTGAAAGCACCGAGATCTTCCAACTTTGCAGCTATCGAATGCACAATTGCACTCACTTGATGAGTAACTTTGATAGTTTCAAAATTCATCGATCTCTTCTTTGTCACCAAGTCTTTCATAAACTTAGCATATCCGGGTATTTGCTCCAAAGCTTCAACTAATGGCACATTTATAGAGAGACTCTTCATCATATCAATTAACTTCTTGAATTGATTCTCGCCATTTTTCTTGGCAAACCTTTGAGTATAGGGAGGGGGTGGCTTAGGCAATGGTGCCTTAGCTTTTTGAACTACCGTTTATGGTATGTCAATCACATGATCCCTAGACGGGTACATATCTTCTTGAGTATCTTCCACCGTGTCATCAATATCAATCCGCACTTCATCATTTGCATGCACCACATTGTTCGAGATCTCCTCTTCTTCTACCACTTGCTTATCATCCACAAGTTGCCTTTGGCTTGAGGTAGGTGCATTACCACGTTTTCCACTTCTTATAGTAACGGTCATGGCATGTCCCGTAGTATTCCCACCCTTCGGGTTCACTACCGTATCACTTGGTAGTGCCCCTTTAGGACGAGAATTTAAAGCTTGAGAGATTTGACCCATTTGCACTTATAAGTTACGGATTGATGTGTTGTGTGAAGCAAATTGGGCATCGGAATCGGCATTCTTTTCCATCATTTGCTTGAACATGTTCTCAATACGACCCATTTCATTGTTGGAGAAACTAGGACCATGAGAAGGATAAGGAGGTGGGTTGCTTGGTTGTTGGTACATCGGGGGCCTTTGAAAACCCGACCCCCGATTTCCTTGGTTGTTGTTCCACCCGTCTTGGTTGTTTCCTCCCCAATTGTCTTGATTATTATTATTTTGCCAATTCCCCTAGTTATTGCTTCCACTCCAATTGCCTTGATTGTTTCCACTATTCCAATTACCTTGGTTGCTAGAATTTCAATTGCCTTGATTATTCCAAGGTCTCCATTGTTGTTGACTAGGGCCTTGGTAGTTATTTGTTTTCCCTTGAAAGTTGTTCATATATTGGACCTCTTCATCTTGATCATTGTAAGAATCTCCTTGATCAAACCCACTATCATCTTGTACAAAATTGTCCACTCTTTATTGCACTTGTGGACTTCTAGTTCTTCTCTTGTTTACCATCATATTGACTCCCTCCATAGCATTGACTTGCCTCAGGTTTTGCACTTGTTGAAGTAGAGCCTTTTCCAATTAGTTCATGGTGGTTGTCAACTCGGCTATTTCTTGCCCATGGTCATGTAACTCTTTATGAAGAAGAATCAAATTTGGATCACCTTAAGGGACATTGTCTCTAGATTGCCACGCCGATGAAGTATCTGCCATTTCATCCAAAATATCATACACCTCCACATACGGCGTAGTCATGAAGTTCCCACTGACAAGTTGATTCACTACACATTGGTTGATGGTATTGATCCCCCGATAGAAAGTTTGTTGAATCATGGTCTCCGTCATATCATTGTTGGGGCACTCTTTCACCATTGTTCTATACCTTTCCCATATCTCGTGTAGTGGTTCATTAGGCTCTTTCTTGAATGCTAGAATTTCATCCCGAAGAATGGCCATGTGCCCGGGACAAAAGTACTTTGAAATAAATTTCTTCGCTAGTTCATCCCAAGTATGAATGGAATGATTTGGCAAACGTTCCAACCAATCTAAGGCTCCCCCCTCCCCCCCCCCCTAGAGAGAAGGGAAAAAGCCTTAGCCTCAAAGCATCCTCGGAGATATTTGTTTGTTTTCTCCCCCAACACGTATCAATGAACCCCATCAAGTGTTTATATATATTTTAACCCGGTGCACCGATGAATAACCCCCGTTGCTCGAGCAAAGTGAGCATTACGTTGGTTATTTGAAAGTTTCCCGTCCTAATACAGGGTGGGACTATAGCACTTGCATACCCTTCATTAGCCAAAAATTGATCTCGTCCAATTTCAGTCCTCTATTTGAGGATATGAAAACGATCGATGCAATAGTAATACCCAACAAGGAGTCGGGGTCGATTTTCCATAGGGAGTTATGAATGGGTCTTAGGGATATATATTATAGTGTATGAGCTTGAATTATCTCAAATTGCACTTCCACAAACTTGGGTTGTTTCTAGGTCTAATTTAAACTAAGATTACAAACTAAGAATTTAAAATACGAAATTACTTTTGGTTGTTTTTCAAATGACATAAAAGGCTTAGGGCTATGACCTTCACCTAGGTGTTCGCTTAATGGGTTGTAAGCCTAAAAGCTTGTTTTATTGGTCGAGATGTATTATAGCTATCAACACTCAAGTACTCACTCGATACCTCTCGGTCAAAGAGTGATTTTGCCCAATTTGGCTTTCTCAAGTCCAAATGGGTATTGAACAAAGCAGTTGATAATAAGCTCAAGTCGGGTTTTACTATCTCTAGGTTCAACCCTTTAATTGGGCTTATCAATCTCTCGATTGACCCTCCAGAAAACCAAGTATAACATGGTCCGTCCACAGGCCAGATATGATTTTCGGATTTTCACCTCATAGCACATTGAACATTGTTGGAACGCTTTGCGTGTACACAACAATATGCAAATACGAAGGCATTCCACTTAAGTTTCCAGGGACAAAAGCCCGTTGGGATAGTTACTCTAATGCATCAGATGCTGATTTGGTGGCAGAGCATGAAATTTGGGCAGCACTCTGCCCCCGGGCGCAGAACAAAGCATTCAACATTACCAATGGCGATGTGTTCAAATGGAAGCATTTGTGGAAGGTGTTGGCTGAACAGATCGGAGTAGAATATGTAGGATTCGATGAGACGGAGAAACGGATTTGCTTGGCCGAGATGATGAAGGATAAGGGGCATGTGTGGGATAAGATTGTGAGAGACAATAACTTGGTTTCCACCACGTTAGAAGAGGTTGGCTTGTGGCAATTTGCTGATATGATACTGGCTGGAGGAAGTAATAGGTTGAGCAGCATAAATCGCAGCAAAGAGCATGGTTTTATGGGCTTCAGGAATTCCACCAATTCCTTCATTTTCTGGATACAAAAGGCAAAAGATAATAGATTAATTCCTTGAACATTGTATCTTCACTTCTGCATTTAATAAGGTTATCTTACCTTGTTAGTTAATTTATTTAGGGAAAATCTTTGTAATTAGAATAGGGGTGGCCGGTATACATACCACTTCAATTCTTTGTTTACTTCAACCCCTCTACCGGCCGCTCCCACGTCAGTGTTTACATTTCAAAGTCCACGAAATGAAATTACACAAATTGCATTAGAATAAAATATAAAGCTAATTCTAATAGTTATAAGATTTTCTTCTATGTCAATGGAGAAGTTGGTCTCTATATCAGGATTAATTAAGTTTTAGATTCCTCAATTTCTTCCTCCTTTTGTTCTGAAATGAAGTCATCTTCCCCTATCAAAGCTAGTCGTCTATCTGCCAATTGTGGACCAGAGGAGATGAGCTTGAAATACAAAGAGATAATATCAACCCTCCATAAAAGAGAAGGTAGGAATCCTTCTCAGGATTGCTACCAATACCAAGGCTTCTCGTTCCATTTAGCCTTCTTAGAAGCAACTTTATCTATGCAAGAGAACTTCAAAGCTCAACCATCCGATATTTTTCTTTGCGGTTCTATAAAAACAGGTACCACCTGGCTTAAAGCTTTAGCCTTTTCCATTATCACTAGAAATCTTTTTGATGACTCCACAAACCCTTTACTTACCAAGGTTCTTCACTATTAAGATCTTGTTAGAGAGTATTTCATGTCTAAAAGCTAGAGGAAAAAGGAGAGAAGAGTTGCATAGGCACATTTACAAGATCAGAGTCATACAGGCTGCATGATAGAAGGTAGTAAAAGTTACGAGATTGGAAGGATTCCGACCACAAGTCATGGGGTGAGAAAGAGGCCTAAAGGGGGGAATGCCCTGGCCTTTGGAATTATTCACAGAACAGTTGTCGAGATGGCAAGAAGAGTACTAAAGTATTTGAAAGACATAGGTTATGAAAATGATAAGTGCATCAATCAACATTCGAGGACGAATGTTCCAAAGAGGGGAATGATGTTACACCCCATATTTTCGTACGTGAAAGTAGGCCATAAATAAATTAATGAAAGCTTGGAAATGAGATTTTACATCCCACATTTTCGTACGTTAAAGTTTCGTCGTAAGTTAATCGACGTAAGCTCGGGAATAAGATTATTTTAAAATTATAAGTATTACGCTATTTCAAACAAGTGATAAGTAAATTCGTGAAGGTGAGAGGGTAGCAAATCGAAGAAATGAGTTTTGTCAAAGTTTGGCAATTTGGGATAAAATACAGTCCAAGCTATAATACCCGGTATTTATGGACTAGTGCCATACAAGGTAACACATGACCATGATAGTGAGGTATATAAGGTGTACTAAAAATGAGTAATATTTTAAGTAATTTGAGATAATTCTTAATAATGTGAATAATTGATTAGTGGAGAAATTAACTAGTTAATTAAGAATTGGTGGATAATTAGTTAAACTCTTTGGACAAGCCTATGAAACTTTAACGTGGCAGCAAAGTCTTTAGTCAATTAGTGACTCTTTACTCAAGTAATTAGGTGGCAAAACTTGAGGGGATTTTGGTGGCCAAGTCTTATAGTGGGACCCAACCTAAAGGTTAAAGATAACCTTTTTTATTCACCCAAAGTAAATGGCCCTCATCTTCACAATTCAATAGTATAATAATTTTACGTAAGCTGCTGATAAGTAATAGCCTAGTGGACATCATAGGGCAAACTCCATTTTTCAGAGTCGAGCACTAAATATCCCTTTTCCACGCTGCTATGTATTTCCGACAAATTAAGAAGGAAAACTTCAACAAGGATAATGAATTGCAATAGCAAAGTAGTTGTTTCAAAACATTTCATACGAAGACCATTTAACACAATATAGCGTGAGATTTTGCAATTTTAAGGAATACGGTGCAATCTTTCTCAAGAATATCATATAAATTATTCCCTACTTCGATTCGCCGTTACACGTTTTTCACAAAACACCGGGGTTAGAGGGATTGTAAAGAGAATCGACTCTGGTATGTTAAGGCTATCCCTTCTTTCCTTTTGGCATGATCCAAATGATACAAATAAAACGAGCAAAATACGCAACTTTCATAAATGACTCTATTCATAGAAATACTAGGGGTGTCTATATTCTTGATTCCCCATGTGTATTATTATTCTATCATCTGTTCATGGGTCTCAGAAAATACGTAAGTTGATAAAGTTTATCCGAAAGGCATATTGATTTTATGACATTCCGAGAAATCTTATTAACGTACTTCTTATGCATTTCATGCATTTATACATATACATTGACCCATGACCATATGGCGTTATATACTCGTATATTATATGTATATGGGATATGGGAAAAGGTTACGACGTTATATATGCACCACCACCTGATCAGCTGGTATATGTTGATGATTTTGCCCACAGTGGCCGAGATGATATGATGAGATGCCCTCAGAGGCTTGCTGATGTTATGTACACCTATACCTATGCATGACACAACATTTATACGCACGTGCATGACATTATAAATGTTTCAGGATTTACAAAGTTATTTAGACTTACAGGCGGAATGCTTTATTCCATGTTTCATCTATGTCTTTTATGCACTATTTTGCATGCCTTACATACTCAGTACATTATTTGTACTGACGTCCCTTTTGTATGGGGACGCTGCGTTTCATGCCCGCAAGTCCCGATAGACAGGTCGAGAGTCCTCCAAGTAGGCTATCAGCTCATTGGAAGATGTTGGTGCGCTCCATTTGCTCCGGAGTTTCTTGTTTGGTCAGTATAATTTGGACGTGTATTGTTTGGTATGGCGGGGCCCTGTCCTGACCTTTGTGGTATTTATCTACTCTAAGAGGCTTGTAGACATATGTCATGTACATGTAAGATTGTATGACCTTGTCGGCCTATGTTTAGTGTATGAGTGATCATTTTAGCCTTATAGGCCCGTATGTCATATGTATAAGTTTGTAGTACATGTTGGGTCGTCCAATGTTGAGTGTTTCCTCATGTTTTATTCTACTTATCTGACGACAGCCTCTCCGGATGATTTATCTATGATATTATGATACGAAAGATACATTACATTGGTACTCGGTTGAGTAAGGTATCGGGTGCCCGTCGCGGTCCATCGGTTTGGGTCGTGACAAATCTGCCAACTTCTGCATTTCTCCAGGTGGTCTTTAACTCACATGAGCTAACCGCGACCCTGTCCAATTTTACTAAGAAATCTATAAACATAATTTGGACCTACTCGAGGTGTTGGAACACATAATATAACATAATGACGAAGAATCGCACCCCAAACCAAACAAATCAACTTATAAACTTCAGTCTTCTTCCTATGAACTAATGCGGCGAATCATACTTAGACAACTCAGAATGACACCAAATTTCACACACAAGTCCAATACAACAAAGCAAACCTACTTCAGGGCTCAAAATGCCAAACAAGATCCGATATCACCAAAGTCCACTTCAAATCAAACTTAGAAAACTCTAAGATCTTCAAAATGCCAACGTCCAACTATAAGGGCCGAAATGCTCCCTATCCTCAAGAAACTCGATCCGAACATATGCCCAAGTCCAAAATCACCACATAACCTATTGGAACCTTCAAATTCTGATTCTGATGTCATTTACTCAAAGTGTTGACCTAAGTCAAACTTGGTCACCTTAGGCATATATTATGTAACTAAGTGATCAGAATTCAACCCAAACTCTTCCAAAACCAAACCAAATGCTACCGCAAGTCATAAAACAAGAAAAATACATATGAGAAGCCTTAATTAGGGGAACGGGGTTCTAGAAAGTAGAATAACTGGTTGGGTTGTTATAATCTCCACCTCTTAAACAAACGTACATCCTCGAACGGGTTTAGAATCATAACTGAAGTGCCGAATAAGTGTGGAAATCTGCTCTGCATGTCCTCATCGGTCTCCCAAGTCGCCTCCTCTACAGGCTAACCCCTCCATTGAAACTTCGCAGCTGAAATCTCCTTAGACCTCAACCTGCAAACCTACCTATCAACATTTGCAACCGGATACTCCACATAACTCAAGCTCTCATCCATTTGAACTGTGCTATAATCCAACACATGGGACCTATTAGCATGGTACCTCCGGAGCATATACACCTAAAAATACTGGATGAACTCCTGATAGGCTAGGAGGCAAAGCAAGTCTATATGAAACCTCACAACTCACTCCAAAACCTCGAACGGACCGATGAACCTCGGACTCAACTTGCCTTTCATCCCGAATCTAATGATACCCTTCATCGGCTAGACTTTCAAAAGTACTTTCTCCCCCACAATAAATGATAAATCACGCATTTTCTGATCCACGTAACTCTTCTTCCTGGACTGCACTGCGTGAAGTCGCTCCTGAATCAAGTTTTCTTTATCCAAGGCATCCTTTACCAAATCAGCACCATACAACCTAGCCTCGCCAGGCTCGAACCAACTAATGGGGGAACGACATCGTCGACCATACAAGGCCTTAAATGGAGCCATCTCGATGTTGAATTAATAGCTGTTGTTATAAGAAGACTCAACCAACAGTAAGAATTGATCCCACTACCCTCCGAAGTCAATAACACATGCTCTGAGCATATCCTCTAGAATCTGAACAGTCCGCTCTGACTGCCCGCCAGTCTACGGATGAAAGGCTGTGCTGAGCTCTACCCGAGTACCCAACTCACTTTGTACTGCTATCTATAAATGCAAAGTGAATTGAGTGCCTCGATATGAAATAATTGAAATAGGCATACCATACAACCTGACAATCTCCTAGATATAAATCCGGGCTAACCTCTGCGAAGTATATGCAGTCATCACCGGAATAAAGTGTGTAGACTTGATTAGTCTATCGACAATGACCCAAATATCATCAAATTTCCTCAATGTCTGCCGCAAGCCAACCATGAAATCCATAGTGATGTGCTCCCATTTCCACTCTAATATAACCATCTGTTGTAGTAAACCACCTGGCCTCTGGTGCTCATACTTAACCTGTTGGCAATTCAGACATCTTAACACACACTCAACTATGTCTTCTTCATCCACTGCCACCAGTAATGCAACCTTAGGTCACGATTCATCTTCGTGGTACCTGGATGAATGGAATAATGCAAAATATGTGCCTTCTCTAGAATCGACTCCGTCAGGCCATCAACATTAGGAATACATAAGCGACCCTAGAG